GGCAGGCTGTGCGGGAAGCCCGCCCTCACCAAGCACAACTCCCCTGCCCCAAGGGTGCCAGTGTCTCCAGCAGGACTATGGCCCAGCTCTGGTCCCCATGCCTGGCTGTGCCCCTGCTAATGGGGATGATGCTGCTTCACGTATGGCCGCCACTTGTGCCAGGCCCTGTCTTTGCTGGGGAGAGCGTTTGAAGGCACCAACCTCACCCTGCGCCTGTCCCATCCCGGCAGAGAGCCCTGATGGACATGAGAGCAGAGCAGAGCGCATCCTGACCCCTGCCCCACGCGGCTGCCTCTGTGCCGGCCCCTGTGGCTATGGACGAGTGGAAACCCAACCCCGCCATCAAGCCCCACAAGAAGCGGAGCTGGTACCTTGCCTGGAAGTACAAGCTGATGAACCAGCGCGCGCTGCGGAAGCTGTGCCAGGTGAGTCACCTGCAGGCCTGTGGTGGATTAGGGAGGATAATCTATAGGGTTTACAATCTTATGGAGCAGCTGCATGGGTGGAGGTGGATCTGCTGACAGGCCTGGGTAGTCTAACATGCTGGAGAAGCATAACTTGTTCCCCAAAAAGCTACCTCCACTGGCTTTGCGCTCATGTGAGGAAGGGTCTGCCGTGTCTAGCAGCTCCTTCCAGCTGCAGGTGGACCTGTTGGGTGGCTATGGCAGCACATACAATCGTTCAGGCATCCTCAGGAGGCTTTCAGCTGGAAACCTGACTGATTTCTCCCCATCCTGGTTCCAGACCTGGGCCGAGTGCAGCAGGGCTCTGCCTGCAGTGAGAAACCATCCCTGCCCCGTTTGGTTTGCAAACCAAGCCTGATATAAGGGTCAACAGGTGGACAGATAAAATAGGGCTGGGTAACAGGATCTCATGCCCTAGAGGCAGCTGGCGTCTGGGAAGGCTGTAGACGTGGTTGCTTGTGTTGTAAAATGGCTAATCCTCAGCAGAGCTGGCGTCTTGGGGGGTGTCTGGTGGCATAAGGACAGGAGGGTTTGGCCCCATGGCAGAGAGCTGCAGAAAAGTAGCCATTCCTGAGATGAGCAGAGCTCAGTGAAATCTGGCAGTTGGTTTCTGTGGGAGGGAGCAGGGGAGGGTTTCGCTTGTGCCTGGGAGGACAGAGGCTCACGAGGGCTCCCTGGGGAAGGAGACTGCTCAGTCCTGTGTCCGCTGGGGTGCTCAGGGCTTAGGAATGGGCCTGGTTGTTCAGGCAGACATTACTCATCACATGGGGGCAACGGGCTAGAGCCTGACTGCTGTCATCTCACTCTTTCGTGGCACTGGTGTGGCTTAAAACATAGGTGAAAATTAGTTTAAAATATGTAAACTATAGCTGCAGCTATGGAGTAGCCAAGTCTACAGCAGCTGGGCCTCTATCAGCAGCTCTGACTGAGCCAGCCTTGCCAGACCTGGCTGCTGGTCCCGCTTGGTGCTGTCTTGTTCGCTCTGGTCACCTGCGCTGCTTCACTGCCTCTCCAGTACTGACCAGGGTGGAAGGTCTGGGCAAGTTGGTAAGGTAACCTTGCTGCCAGCCACCAGGCACAGCCTGCTCCTCACCACGAGCTCAAGGCTCTATTCTTGCCTAATTAAAAGCTTTCTGTGCACAGATCGCAAAAGGTGCTCATACTCCTGAGTAAACAGCAAATCAACAAGCCAAAATGCCATGGTGATGTTTACGTTATCATGTTGTCTACCTGTCCATCTCTTGTCTTATTGCTGTTTTTTCTTCTCAGTAATCTTCCTCAGTTACTTCTTGAACCCATTTGGCTGCTTGGCAGAGATAGCAGCAACAGGTAGCTTTGAGGAAGTACCTGGCCAAGTAGGACAGGGATCTTTTTAGTGCCTCTCACCAAGGGCAGGCCTGTGTGTGATCTCAACCCCATACCAGACCTCAGACAATAAAGGGTCTTAGAGCTGAATAAGGCAGATTATTAGGAAGCAAGCTGTTGGGTTGAGGGGCAAGAGAAGTGTCTCAAAACCACCCAAGACCTGTCTCAACATCCCCTTGCAGGGAGACCAGGCTATGAGCAACCTCCACCGACCTTTCCCTTCCTCTCCCTTGATTGCTGTGACATCCCCATGCTGAGTCTCAAGACGCTTCAGGGAGGTTAGTAGGACCCTGAGCTTGTGTTGCTGAAACCGGAAATCATCCAATACATTCAAAGTGTGGCTGGGCCAAGGATCCAGAGCTTTTGGGCCGTGGGATGAATCTGTCAGCCGCACACAGCAGTCAGATTTGGGCCTCTGTGGTGGTTCTGCTGTGAGCTGGACAGACCGTCCTGGCATGGAGGCTGGTGGTGGAGCCCTGCAGTGGTGTTAGCTTCAGGGGTAACGGCTGCTCAGGGCTTTGTGTCTTAAATCCAACGGTGAAGCCTTCCCTCCCTGTGTGACTGTCCAGGGCAGCTTTTGGGCTCCCTGCTAGAGCTGTTCCTCAGCTCCTAAGCAGGGCTGTGGCTGCTGGGCAGGGACTTTGTCCCTGAGCAGAGGTCCGCAGCCGTCACATGCTGCTGTCATCTTTCCACCATGAAGGGGCACCTGGCCCCAGGTTATTAAGCTCCCTTGGACAAGTAAAGAGAGTTTGCTTCAGCTGAGGCCTTATCTTTTAACCCTGCATCCCAGGCCAGCACTGCAGCTCTAAGCCCATCCTCTTGGCCATGGCCAGACATGCTCTTGCAGCTTACAGCTGCAGGCAGATCATTTCCCAATGGAATGTTGGTGGTCTGAGTCTTCCTGTGTGGTTCTGTCTCAGAAAAGGTCCTTTCAGCATGGAGTAGTTTTTACTTTAATCTGGGTCCAAATACCAGGAAAAAGATTGAAATTGGAAAAGCGAGGAACGAGATGCATTTAAATAAATACAGGTGCATGTAGGAATGTTGCAATCTTTTCTTCCTCTTCTTGGTCTGGGAGCAACAGGGCCATGGGCAATGGAGATGCTCATGTCTGGGGTTTCTATGGACTGTTCCATAGCCCCTGGACCTTCCCATAGCCCTGTGTGTCAGCATCCACGCAAGTTGTCTAGGTTTGCTGCAGACAGTAAGGCTGCAGGCTGTTCTCTGTAGCCTGTGGCACCATGATTTCATGAAGTCAGACCTCAGCTTCTTCCCTTTGCTTCACTTTAGTCACACAGCATCTCCTTTCCCTCTGAATACCCTGAATACATCCTCTAGTTGCAGAGGGAGAGATGAGGGTAGTGATGCTGCAGGAGAGGCAGAGGTTAAAGGTACTGTGGGAGCTGTAACTCTGAATTACCAAAGTCTTTGCCTGCAGAGACCTTCAACCAATATTTCAGCAGGAATCTGCTCACAGACCTGGAAGCAGGGATATGTTGGAAGTGGGTTAGTTTCTCATATATCAGGAAGTCCATGTTCTCAACCTGATGAAAGCATTTCACCCTAAAACTCAGTCACCTGTATTTCTTTCTCTTTGCCTTTCCCCAGAAGAAAACGGGGGAAATGACAGATGCTTGTGATCTCTTGCAAGATCTCCTTGGGGTGCCTTGCAGACTCTGCCAAGGAGGTGGGCTATCTTGGGGTTGTTACTTATGAGTTGCTAATGCAAAGCATCCTGCATTGCAGACAGGTGCTGTCCTCTTCCTGCTTGTGACTGTAATTGTGAACATCAAGCTGATCTTGGACACCAGGAGAGCTGCTTACGAGGAGGAAGAGGAGTCTGCACAGGACTACGGTGAGGGGCAGCATCTTACTTTTCTTTGAAATCAAGAAAACCGGAGGGAGGGAAGTAATTTATTTAAGTCAAGGCGAACTCATGACCAGCTACAGCAGGAAAGACAGGTCTGTGCATGTGGGTTTAACAAAAATAAATAGAAGAGTCTGTTCTTATTCCTGGTCTGTCTATTCAATGTGCTTCAGCACGTTTGGCTGCAGAGGTCTGTATTGGGATAGCTGGGACCAGACCTGTTGCAATTTTGGATTTCCCTTGCCTGCCATCCTCATAGATTCTGACCCATAACTTGCTGGGCTGGGATACCTGGTGGGCATGACCTCCTGGAGGCTTGACTGGGCTAGCACTGAGCAGGGACAAGCCAGAGGTGCCTTGGCTGGTTGTGACTGGGCATTTCTCCCCTATAGATGACGAGATGCTGAATGTGGAGGTCCCTAGGCACCCTGTCAACAACAAGAAAGTCTTGGATGTCGAGGTGTACTCCAGCCGGTCGAAGGTCTATGTGGCTGTGGATGGGACAACAGTAAGTGACAGGTGCTGACTGTTCCAGTCAGTAGAGGGTGGATGGAGTTGAATGGGTGAAGCCTCAAGCAGCAGGTGGTGAGAGCACTTCACTGGCTGCAAAAAGGTCAGGAGTGGATCTCCCTCCTGCCTCCAGGACTGCGGAGGTGTTGTCCTGCATAGTCTTCTACTCTGGCATCCACCACTGCCATGAGCAAAGCCAAAATGTCACAGAAGAGAGACTTGCCCTGTGTTTGGGGGCTCTGCTGTACTGAATCAGCAGGGAGTAAGAGGTCTTGGCATATAGTTCTCATTGCTTCTCCACTTGCAGGTCCTGGAAGATGAGGCTCGGGAGCAGGGAAGAGGGATCCACGTCATTGTCTTAAATCAGGCTACGGTAAAGCATCCCCACATGTCTGCATTTATCTTTCTTACTGGGCAGTGTTTGACCTTGCTCTTTAACTCTTGGGTGCATGAGGCAAAGGGCATGAGAGATGTCCCCGAATGCTTATTTGCCTGTGGTTTCCAGAGCACAACATGGTCACCCAGAGGATCCCTGCAGTGTTTCTCTTGTGCTTGCATAGCTGTCCTTGCAGGCAGGAGAGGAGTTGTGAGGTTGGGTAATGCTGTCCTGTGGACCTCAATGCACTTCCTGTCATGCGTGAAGGCCCAAGGGCTGAATTTGCCTGAGGACTAACTCCCTGACATACCAGAAAAGTAACTCATCACATTGTTCAGGGACTGAGTCTTCCAAGACAGATTTCCATAATTCTGTATGTCCTGACTGTATGGCATTTAAGATGCATCTGATGTTTGAATACCAACAGGGTCATGTGATGGCCAAGAGGGTCTTTGACACCTATTCTCCCCATGAAGATGAAGCCATGGTACTTTTCCTCAACATGGTTGCCCGGGGCCGGATCCTGATCTTCACCGTTAAGGTATGTGACCTTAGTGCCAAAAGAAAAAGTCACCTTGAGACAGGATGCCCTAAAGCTCTTCTGGGCCTCCTCAATGTCATCGGGTGTTCCCAGGGCTAAGTGTCACATCCCCACTGGGCTCTGCCTCCCTGACAGGATCACCTCCCTTGTCCTCTCGCTCCCCCTTGTTACTACAGATACTGCTGTGTGCCCAGCAAGGCAGGAGAGCAAAAAGCAGATGTATCAGAGCCCGCAGCAATAAAAAAGAGGTTAGATGGAGAATGGACATGAGGAAAAATGAAAATGGGGTGGGAACCTTCTAAGTCCCAAGTTCCAGGCCGTTGGGTGAGGGGAGCCTGCGGTGGCTCTGAGTTGCTGTGTGAGAAGCAGTGTGATGCTTCAAGGTTTCACCTGTGTGAAGTGTTGCTGAACACATGGCCCTGCTTGAGAACTATTTGATCTTGGGGAAACAAAAGTCTGCCTCTTCTGACCTCACTGTGGGTCATCTTGAAGCCACGAGCAGGTTTAGTGGCGCAGAGACTGTAGGAACCTGCTCTGGAAGGTGTCTGGCTCAGATGGTTTGAGGGTAGATACAGGCCCTGTATCTTTGGTATTGACAGGAGACTTCCCTTGTCTGCATTGGGAGCCAGACCTCAGCTTCAGGGTTGTGTTTCATTCCAGGACGAAGGCTCCTTTCACCTCAAGGACACAGCCAAGAATGTCCTGAAAAGCTTGGGAAGCCAAGTTGCACCATTCCTGAGCTGGAGAGACATGTGGACATTTGTGGGAAAGAAGGGAGGTGAGTCTTGCATGGGATGGGAGAGGGTTCATGGCCTCTTTCTGGGGGAGAAGCTGAGTGAAGACAAACCCAGCTCATCCCCAACATGCTGTATGAGCAGAGAACAAGTTACAGAGAGCAGACAGCTCCGTTGCTGGGGGTGAGGGAGGGGATGGAGGCAGAACATGTCCCTGCAGCAGCTCACCAGAGGCTAATGGGAAAAGATGCCAAGGTGCCACTGTGAGCTACAGCCTCTAGTCATGCCTTGACACAGTAGGGATGGGCCATTCCAGACAGTACTGACCCTGTGTCCCTGCTCCAGGGGAAGTGTATGGGGAGAAGCATGCCAAATCGCCTGCCCTCTCGACATGGGGTGACCCTGTACTGCTGAAGACAGAAGTTCATCTGACATCTGTGGAAGGTAGGAAGTAAGATTTGCTCTGTGGTGCCAGGTATCTCTGGCACATGTCTGCCTGCTGCTTTTGGTGGTTTTGAGTCAAAGCCGTGAGTCTGTTAGCAACATCCCGGGATGGACTTAAGACTGTTTGAGGTGGGGATGGTAACTTTTAAAATGGGGCCAGCTTCCTTTCTTTCTGCTTCCATGGCAATTCTGGGCATGATTGTTGAGAGAGGTGAGGATGGGGAAGTTGGGGACACAGTTGGGCCATTTGTCACCTCTCCAAACCAGGCCTGGTCCAGTCTTTTCTGACTGTTGCCTTTGAACATGGACCATTGCTGCTCAGAGAGGCCATGCGGTGGGGATGGCTTCTGAATGGCTCCTGTGGTTATATCTGGCATCTAGAAGTGTTGCTTGTTCATAGTAATAAGGTCTGGCTTGGTGATGGCTGAGCCCAGGGAGAACCATCCATGTGGCAGTGCAGCCTGGAGCACACAAGGTGAGGCCATGGGGATGTCTGATCTGTTTTCTCCTTGGTGCCTCCAGATGCTGAGTGCCATTGGCCCGACACAGAGCTGACCCGCCGCCGGAAGAGGTTCTGCAGCAAAGTAGAAGGTTATGGCAGTGTCTGCAGCTGCAAAGACCCCACACCCATTGAGTTCAACCCTGATCCTGTGAGTGCAGGTGCAGAGTGTTCAGGGAAGGCTCTAGGAGGGAGGGCTGGGCTGGCCCACGTATGTGGTGCAGCTCAGATGCAGACCCCTGTCCTTAAGCGCCCACTGAGTGGTGAAAACTACCCTTGGGCAAGATCTTAATCCCAGGAAAGGTAAGGTGAATACCATGTGGTCAGCTCATGCTGGGGAAGAGGAGTTCCCTTGCCCTGTGTCTGCCCTGAGCTGCCAGGTTGCCATGGCTCTAGGGACACCAGTGTAGGCAGCAGAGCCTGTATTTTTGGAGACAGAGCAGCTATCATGGCCTTTGGGCTGTCCTTGGTGCAGTGCTGAAGGGTTTGGACAAAGTTCTCCGGGTGGGATATGGGAGCTGGGTCTGAGGTGGTGTGAAGGGAGGAAGCTGGCAGGGACCCAGCAGTGCTGAGTGGAGTCCTGGCTGGTCGATGTGGTCCTGAGCAGAGGGGTAGGACTATGCAGCTCCACTCTTTAACAGGAGGGCTGATCCCTACCCCTTGGATCCTGCTCTTGGTGGCATGGCCTCCCCTAACCCCACTCACACGTATTTCTCTTCCAGCTCAAAGACAATAAAGTCTTCGATGTGCCTGTAGCTGTTATTGCAGGGAACCGCCCAAACTACCTGTACAGGTAAGCACTTCCAGGGGACGTGGCTTCTCTGCTATGTGCCATGAGACCAGGCATGGCCCGAGCCCTCCCCTTCGTCCTGCCAGCAGGATCCAGCCTCCTACTGGGGCTGCACAAGCAATGTAAGTGGACCTGCTTGGACAGATCTCAAGGTCCTTGGCCATGGGAAAGGGAAGATCCCAGGGATAGTAGGTCTTGTTCCCTTACCATGCACCCTTTCCCCCACCCCAAGGGATCCATACCCCTCTGCTGAATGGCCTGGGTCCACTGGGACTGTGCTGTGCTTAGGCCTCTCAATCTCTCCCCAGGATGCTGCGCTCCTTGCTGTCAGCTCAGGGTGTCAATCCGCAGATGATCACAGTCTTCATTGATGGGTACTACGAGGTGAGAGCACTCCTGGAGGTCTCTGTAACCAGGTCCTTGGTCCCCCAGCTGAGAGGACATGGTGCTGGCCCAGTCTTTGGTGGGTGGTAGGCTATGAGCCTCTTCACCCTTCCTCCTGCTGTGGGTCGTGCTACTCTTCCCCACCCCTACACCAAGTCAGTCAGCTGAGCCAAGCCATGGGTGTGGATAAAGCTGCCTTGGCCTTTCCCAAAGCCCATATTTTACATCCCCGCATCAGAAAGAAGCTGCTGTGCAGAAGTGAGACAATCATGCTGGGCTCTCCTCGTCTCCTTTTCTTGCTTGATGAGTATTGACAGCCCTTTGAGTAGGGTCTGGGTGTAACACTGCCTGTCCAGCTCTCTCACCAGTCCAACTGTTCCTGTCCAACTCTACCACCTGTAAGAGGTGAAGAGACTAAAACTAGTCTGTTTTCACAAGGATCATGAAAGCTGGGGCCAGGTAGAGGAGACATGGCCCTTTAGAGGCAAAGATCTTCCCATCAGCTCTACCTTAAAAAGCTCTGGAGGATTCCACTGCAAGCCCTGGCTCTCTGGCAGCGGGATGTGATCTGGGACAGGCATATGGGATCTTAGTAGGTCTCAGGAACTTGCTAGCCCTCATCTCTTCAGCAACCCATGAGGTATTGTCTGGTTGCCTTGTGACAGGGACAGGGAGGGGAACAGGCATTTTTCTTGCAGGCCTATCTCACCACTGCCAGGTTGTGGGGCTGGGGGAGCTGGTTTGTCTATGCAGGCTCTTGCTGCAGCACATCAGAGTGGTTAAAGATAGCAGCATCCATTGCCATGGCAACTGGAACAGCATCCCTCAGCTACGAGGGGGCAGCCTGGATGCTCATGCTGCCATGGTGGATACCAGGGAAAGGGGGAATGGTTGGTGCAATGGGAGCTCCTTCTCTCTTTTGTGACTAGGAGGTGGGATGGGCAGTATGGGGATGGAGAAGACTTTGCTGGGACCTTCTTGGGGCAGAGAGATGTCGGCGCAAATAGGGATTACTTCTGATCCCAGGGTCAGAGAGGTCCCGTTCTTATCAACTGTGAGAGAAAATGAAGTTGATTGTGGTCTCAACATTAAGCAGCTAGTAGGTGTTCTGGCTATGCCTGTTTTCTTTCTGCACTTTCCATGGGGTACTGGGAATTTTGGGCCTCTCAGACATTCTTGGATGCAACTTTGGGTCTGCATGCTAGAACAGAAACTTCTGGCAATACTATAAGTGCTGAAGGGCCAAGAGGGTTTGGTGAGTTCCTTACTGCGGTGTCTACAGCACAGCATCGTTTTGAGCCTCACTTCTTCCCAGCCACATGCCACAGCCACATTCAGTGGTTTCCACAGGTGTATTCTTGTTGTCCCAGGGAGCTGACAGTGGCAGAGGTGGGAAGAATGTATCCAAGCCCATGCATTTGATGACCTTTGTACCTTTCCATCGCAGGAGCCAATGGATGTCGTGGAGCTGTTTGGCCTCTCAGGAATCCAGCACACTCCCATCAGCATTAAAAATGCTAGAGTTTCCCAGGTGAGCAACCTTTCCCAGATCCTGAGAGAGTTATTTCCTGTGACCTGGGATATCATTTGAGGCAGGCTTAGCCCCTCATCTGTGCCAGGCTACTCCTCCCTGTGGTCTCGGGGTTGATGCTAACACAAACAATGATCTGTCTTTTCTTGTAGCACTACAAAGCCAGTCTGACTGCAACCTTCAACCTGTTCCCGGTGAGTGAGACCTCTGCTTGTGCCCTGTCAAGCTGCTTGCCTGTGGGAGCAAGATAGCACAGGATTTGCTTGGGAGAGTGGCATCTGTGACCCCATCTCACAGGAGCTGGAATTGGTCCTGCAAGGCAGGGAACCGCACAGACGGGAGACACTGCTTGGTGTCCATGCTCTATCCTGGTCCTATCCTTCTGACATCTCTTCTTGCCCTATAGGATGCTAAATTCGCTGTGGTTCTGGAGGAAGACCTTGACATTTCTGTGGACTTCTTCAGGTAAAGCTGTGGGTCCCTGAGCTCCTATTTGGGTGAGGCATTTCCTAGAAGCTCTCTGGCTGCTCAGGAGAGGCCAGATCCTTGCTGTGCTGTAGCTCTCCTATCTGAGGTTGAACAGTCTCCAGGCAACAGCCATAACAGAGCTCTGCCTGCAGTAAGTCTTGAGTCCACTGTCTTGACACTTAGTGCAGGGTGGCTTTGAGGTCTGGGATCTCTTCCTGGTTTTCTTTCTGGGTATGCTGATCCGTTCTGTACACACACGGTTAGGACTGCCCCATTGCAAGAGGACAGGGACAGCATCTGTTGGGGCTCCAGTTCTTCCCTAAGGAGGTGGGACTCTGATGGAGCAGGAGACAATATTGTGCCCTCTCCATGGTGAGATGCAGCTTAGCGTGTTTGGGTACTTCTCCCCTGATCTCACACCAACATCAGGCCAGGAGATGGGTTAGACTGTCCCAGCAGTTGGGGTGGCTTGTCCCTTTGTGGATAATTTGCCTTGGTTTGCCTGGGGGAAGGATGTTTGACCAGGGACCAGCAACTTCTTTCCTCAGCTTTCTGAGCCAGTCAATACACCTTTTGGAGGAGGACGAGAGCCTGTACTGCATCTCAGCTTGGAATGACCAGGTGGGTCAGGGAGGACAGTGGAGCAGGGACACCTCTGCCCTGTGTTGTTCCTGTACCAGGCTGGGGTTCAAGTTCTGTCTGTAAAGCGGGGTGTCCATCATCCTAGGTGGGTCTGTCTCCCCAGCCCTAAACTGTTCAGAAGTACCCCTGCAAATCGCCACCCTGTTCCTGCTGTGTGCTTCCCAGTGGCTGTTCTCTGCTCCCCATGCTGGGAGTCTCCGTGGAACAAAAAGCCTCCTATTTTGGCAAGGTAGGGGTGCATTCAGGGAGCTGATTGCTCCCCTTAACATCACAGGGCTATGAGCACACAGCCGAGGACCCCTCGCTCCTGTACCGTGTGGAGACCATGCCAGGCCTGGGCTGGGTGCTCCGGAAGAACCTGTACAAGGATGAGCTGGAGCCAAAGTGGCCAACCCCTGAGAAGGTGAGTACCCTAGAGGGACCCTGTCTTCTGCACCCCCATGTCTGCCCATCAACAGTCCCTGATCATCACCCAGTCCCTGTGGGTTGGTGATGGAGCTCTTGGAGGAGCCCTGGCTCTCCCTGAGCGTTCACTGGGAAGGATCCCCAAGCAGAATGGATTTGGGACAGACAGTAATTGAGGACCCCATAACCAGCCACACACCTGGCTGGAACAGCTCAGACAGGCTGGGATCAAAGAGGCTAGAGCTGGTGCAGGCAACCGGAAAGGTCCCTGGGTGGCCACACTACTGAATCATGTCCTCCAGACTTGAGTGTGAGTGGAAGTTTCCTCTCCTCAGCTCTGGGACTGGGACATGTGGATGCGGATGCCCGAGCAGCGGAAGGGCCGGGAGTGCATCATCCCTGACATCTCACGCTCCTACCACTTCGGCATCGTGGGGCTCAACATGAACGGCTACTTTCACGTAAGTGACCTCCTTGAGCCCCATCCTGGTGCTGAGCACTGCCTCAGCTACCTTTTCATTTAGTGGGGATACTTGAGGTGACCTCCAAATATTGCTGACTCCTAACTGAACCTCGTTTTCCTTCCCTTCTCTCTCTTTCTTCCTCCCAGGAAGCCTATTTCAAGAAGCACAAATTCAACACAGTTCCAAATGTCCAGCTTAAAAATGTGGAGAGGTGAGTGCTGGTCAGAATGAGATCTGGATGAAACAGTTGCTTGACCTGACCCTTGTCTCCTTGTGCTGGAGACGTCTTCCTGCCTTCTGAAACAACAGCCATAACCTCCAGCCCCAGCACACTGCAATTCCTTGCAGTGTTTTTTGTGCAATTGGGTTCAGCTACTCTGTGCTCCTGGTGGACACGTGGAAGGGTCACGTTTTTGCTGCCACATTCTCCAGGATGCATAGCAGTCCCTGCTCTCTATTCATTGGCTCCAACCTGCCTTTTAGTGTTACAGTGGGGCAGTCTTAAATTTGGATCGTCTTGGGATGTTTCGTGTTTATCAAACTGTCTGACTCTGCTCTAATCTCTCTGCTCTCTCCTCCTCCAACAGCTTGAGGAAGGATGCCTATGAGACTGAAATTCTTAGGCTCCTGGGGTAAGTGCATGCTGGAAGTTTGGGAGAACAGGGCACACCAGGGTGAACCAACCAGGACAGAAGAAAGGGTGGAGGTGGCCACTGCTTGCCTGTCAGAAGTACTCTGCAGTGGGAACAGAGAGGAGGTAAGGTCCTCTCTCACTCCCTGTTCTGTTTCCACAGTGAGGCTGAGGTTTTGGACCACAGCAAGAACCCCTGTGAGGACTCCTTTGTGCCCGACACTGAGGGCAGGGTCTATGTCATGTTCATCAGGATGGAGCAGGAAGCAGATTTCACCACCTGGACTCAGCTTGCCAAGGTGATGCCCCTGACATGGCCCGTCCTTACTCCTGCACTGAGCTTGGCATTGCTGGGAAACACCTACCTGTTGTTCTTGGGTTTGTCCATGGCCTTGGACGCAGCTCAGCAAATGGATTCTTGCTGCCCTTGGGTAGTATTTAAGTTTTTTGTGTTTACGGAAGGCCGTGGGTCATCCAGGGCAGATGCTTGGCTCAGTGGAGATAAGTCTTACGATCTCCCTGTGTGGGACCTCAGAGTCTGAGCTTGTCTGGGTGGTACCATTACTTGCATGGAGGTGATGGTCAAACCCCCTGTCCTGAGACAGAGGTGGGAATGGGTTCCCCCTCTTCTCTCGCTGATGGTGGCCAGAGGGGTGCTGCCCTGCGCTACCTCGATCAAGGTGCTATCCCCCCTCTCTGCTGTGTCTCGTGACGGGTGGGGGTAGTGGCTTTTCCTTTGGCAGGGGACACCTGGTCCTGGTGTCTGTCCCCAGGCTCTGATGCCTCTTCCTCCCTCCCCACAATCCCAGTGCCTCCACATCTGGGACCTGGATGTCCGTGGGAACCACAAGGGGCTGTGGCGGCTCTTCCGCAAGAAGAACCACTTCCTCGTGGTGGGGGTCCCTGCCTCCCCCTACTCGTGAGTATCAGGGGCGCAACACCCTCGGTAATCCCCACCTCCATCCTCATGGCACTGTCCCCTGCACAGGGCACTGCATCATCCACTTTTGTCCCAGCCCAATCCTGGGGCGTACCACTCCCCTTCTTAATCATTGTGGTGGGAGGCAGGGAGACAAGATACATGCCCAGGGCTGGAGGATGTCCCACGGGAAGGAGATGATGCCAGCGAGGCAAGCAGTGCTGTTAGGAGTTGGGGTCCTGAGGGAGACCACCACTTCTGCCTGCTCCTATCGAACCTCCTTACCTGCAGGTCCAAGAAGCCCTTGTCGGTGACACCAATCTACATGGAGCCCCCTGCCAAGGAGGAGGGGGCAGTGGCACTGCCAGCCGTTGCTGCAGCAGAGCAGACGTGAGACTGGCATCTGGGAAGCAGGGGGGACCAGGAGAAGATGGACACCTCCACAGTGCAGAGACAGAGTTGGCAGCAGCTTTCGGAGGCTGGTGACCAGACATGGACCCCATTTCAGGCTGCAAAATGAGACCTCGGGCTCCCTCCAGCCCCCTGTTGTAGTCTCCCTATCCCTCGCATGGGACAGGGTCCTTCCCATCCCAGGAACTTTTTTTTTTTTTAACACAGACTCTTTACTAACGCTGCTCCCGTTGCCCCCAGGCTGGACAAGGCTGGAGGAAGGAGATGCTTAGCTGGGGGCTAGATGGGGCCTCAAGAAACACCTCTGCTTCCCTTTTTGGTCCCAAAGTCCTGAGAAGGCAGCATGCTCATGTGCAAGTGCTGCAGCCTTCCAGCTGGGTGTTATTTATTAACTCTTGCCTGGCTGGCTCTGTGCCCAGTGGTGAACACAGTGTTGAAGAGATCTTCCAGCATCTCTTCTATCTCCTGCACGATCGATGCACCTTGAAGACTATGCTGGGTTGGACACTTCTTCCTGCACACTGGCTTCGCTGCTTGAGCTGCAGCGACTGGTGCAGCCCAGCTCACAGGCAAAAGGGAATGCAGACAGGGAGCTGAACTTGCTGTGGACGTGTAGGGGACACCCCATACCCAGCACAAGGGTGGTCAGGTACCCATTTCCTTCCTCTGCAGTTCTGGGAGCTGGAGATGACTATAGATGGAAATGGACCAGGCTGTGTGCTGCAGCTCTGACCGTCCTCACCCACCTTCTCTGTGGGGAGCAGTCCTGCCCCTTGAGTTGTGGGAGAGGAGGAGAAAGTGCCTTGCAGAGCAAGATGGGAGCAGCCAGTGGGTGTCCCCACTGGCTGCAGGGGCAGGATGGACCAGGGCCCTCTGGAGTGAGAGATGCTGCGCTCTGGCGTGGTCCTCGCCTGTGGTACTGTGCCCTGTCCCTCCCTCCTTTCTGGCCAGGTACCCCCAGCTTTTGAAGGCAGAGGGGATTTCTTCTCCTGAATTTCCACCCTGATGTGGTACATTGCTAGTAGGGAAGCTGTGAGTTGAGCCAGGAGGGGCAGCCCGGCTCTCCTGCTGTGGTACACCCCTCATGCAGAGAGGGAGGGGGTCCCTGTCTTCTCTCCTGTGCCTTAGGAAGGACCCCAGGGCCCCCTCCCACATCCAGCCACACGGTACTAATGTCCCCCCACCACTGGGGGGCAGTCTTGGTCTCCTTGCTCAGTACACCTCCCTGTGTCATCCGTGCAGCAAGAGATCTGTTCTCTGCGCAGGTTCCTCCGCCTTGTGCAGGGATGCTACACTCTGGCTTGCCCTTGGGAGGAGAATTTGCTCCTCAGCTCTTTCC